ATTCTCCTGCCTCAGCCTCCTGAGGGCTTATAAGCGCCTGCCACCACGCCCGGCTAATTTTTGTATTTTTAGTAGAGACGGGGTTTCTGCATGTTGGCCAGGCTGGTCTTGAACTCCTGATCTCAAGTGATCCAGCCGCCTCCGCCTCCCAAAGTGCTGGGATTACAGGCGACCAGCCACCATGCCCCATTAACTTTCACTTATTTTAAACTTTATATAAATTTATTTATATAAAATTTTAAAGAATATATGTGGTATTATATAAACTTTGTATTATGTAAAGTTATATATTATATATATATAAGGTTTATGTAATCCCACATATACTTTTATATAAGTTTAATAATACATATAAACTTTATGTAATACCACATATATTCTTTAAAATTTTTTGAAACAATCCCAAACTTGTATAAAAGTTGTAAGCTCAGCACAAAAAAACTTGTCGTGAAGTGTTTGAGAGTAAGTTGCCTTCATGGTGCTCTGTCGCCCCCCACCCTTGTCGAGTGTATTTTTCCACAAACAAGGACATTCTCCAACACAGCCACACAGGAGGACACAGGCCTGTTGCTGTGTTTACCCCACAGTCTGTCAAACATGCTTTGCCAGTTAATTGCATCAGGCCCCCAACGTGGAAGGATCCAGCCTGGAATCCCTTTACACTGAATTCTCACCATACCTCTTTATTCCCCTTCGGTCCAGAACATTCCTTGGCCTTGCTTTGGCTGTCATGACCCTGACACCTTTGAAGGTCATGGGCCAATTACTTTGTAGAAAGTCCCTCCATTTGGTTTCTTCTACTGTGTCCTGGTGATTAGATTCCCACTGTGTGTCTCGGAAAGTCACAGAGGTAACGCCATAGCCTGTTCGTTCCATCCAGTCAGTGACTCACAGTGGTCACGCTGTCACGTTACTGGTGATGTTCACTTTGAGCTCTTCATCAAGGTGGTATCTGCCAGCATCTCCACTGGGAAGTATTTTTTTCCTTCGTAATTAACAAGCATTTTGTTGGAGGTACTCGGAAGCTATGCAAATGTGTTATCACTCCCAGGCTTGGCCTAGGAGGCTGTCACGGTGGACACCTTCCTCCCCTGCCTGGGCTCTGATACACTCTGCTGGACCACACCTGGGGCTGCCCTCTTCCCTCTCAGGCTCTGCCATCCAGCTCTGAGCCTCAGCCGCACACACCCCCACCCTCCTCACCCGGCCAGGCACCCGCATACAGCTCTGAGCTGCAGCCACACATACCGGCACCCTCCTCACCCAGCCAGGTGCCCGCATACAGCTCTGAGCCTCGGTCATACACACC